GGTTTTTTTTTGTCTTTAATCCATAATCATCAAAATTGAAACAAATAAAGGCTTGAAATATTTCACTTTGTGTGTAGTGAACTAATATAACATACAAGTTTCACTTTTTGAAACAAATTATTGAAATAAATGGACTTTCCCTCGATATTCTATTTTTTTGGCACATACCTGGAAGTTGTCTGACTTTTTCAGACAGCCTGTGGTGTCATAATGTTTAGCCACATAGTAGACTATGCGACTGAGGCTTGTTGTTGCGTCACACGTCTGGTGATTGCCAGTGAAATGATGTTAACATGTTGTGTAAGCAGCCTAGTTAAAATTACAATTAGAATATGACATGTATGGGCCATGTGTGTACTTGGCTGACTACAACCAAATTATAATACATGCTGTATGTGGCTCTACAGTGTTGGCTTTTAAAAAAAAAATTTTTGTCAGATAGCCAGCCATTTTCTTGTTGCTAAACGTGTTCCAGCGCTCATATTCTGTTCAAGGGGGCCGTTCAGACATGGTCAGACAGCCTGACGCAGGGTGTTGTCGTCCACAGAGGAAGAGCCCTGGAATGGAGGGAAGCCAAGGGGTCAAAGGGGCCCTAGCAGACAATGGACAGTCAGCATAGGGAGCCCAGAGTTAAAAACAAAACTATTTCCTGCCTGTCATTGGTAGCCAAACAAACTCCCCGACACTTTCTTCTCCTCCTGTTGCACCTCACCTGTAAATGAAAAGTGAAGTTGTTTTTCGCAGGGGCTTCCAGTAACATAAGTCTCAATACCTGTCATTGTTTGCTGTGGTTTACTGCCATTCATTGCAAAATAATTTCCTTCCTCCTCATCCTTCTCACAAGAAAAGGCATGTGACATTAAAAGACATTAAAAAAAAAATTCAATGTACACTACTCTTTGATTTCTCTTCCGGTCTTATAAGCTTTACCCATGTGACAGCTGAGTAGTGGTATGGTGTGTGGGTTTCAGTGGAAGCATTCAACTGCCACATCTGTGTATAATGACAAGAAGTTGATGCAGCTGCAGTATTTAGTGTTGAGTTCAGGTGGAGAGAGCTAGGAAGTTATTCTATTTTTTTCTGCAGAGTACTTTTACTTCACTCTTTCTGCTACAGTATTTGTGTGCAAATTTGCCACTTTCTATTAATTTACCTGCTACTTAATGTTTATCGAAATTCTGCTCCTACTCACATGGTTGTGTTGTGAAGATGGCAGATCTGGGCAGCATAGTGGCCGGCTGGTTAGATTAGGACTGTCCCAGAACTCTAGTAGCCTTTGTAAAGAACAGCTTTGTTGGAATTTCTACCTTCTTTTTTGCTTCTCCATTCATATTGGCAGTGAGTGAAATTGTGTCAGAAATCTCTGTTCGGCCATAAATCCCAGCTTCAGTCCAACATGTCAGAAGCGCTCAAAAGTCAGTAACCATCAGCTGAGCAGAATGCAGCAGAGGGGCCTTACTTTTCTTAGCACCAGGTTTGTGTGTTTGGTGTGAAAGTAAGATAGGAGTATCTGCTAAACTGTAAAAGGAAGCCTAAACTTAGTTGTACACTACAGTACAGCAACATGGCAGATAGACCCTGGCAGAAGCAGATGCCTTCAGTAACGACCCCCTTATCTTCTACCTGCACCGACAGCCTGCTCTAAACTTGGCTTAGATTGAGCATCTAGTCAAATGCAATGGTTTTGGGTTCTGTGTTGTTGGTTTTTAAAGCAAAACATTCATGTGGCTATAGCAGGAAGCAGCAAGCAGAGCTGTGTTACCTGGCCACAGTTGATCTTCTCATGTGCTGATAAAAGATACTTTACATTTTGCAGGGTTAACCTCTAACTAACCTTTGTTTGGCACTACTCAGATGATTTCCAACTGCAGAAGAGCCAGGCCTGCAACCCGATCCCCACTGTTTAGCCTATATTTGTTTACACTTTGGCAAATTAAGAGCCATCGGATGTACTGGCAACTATCAGTTCATTAGTTTGATAGGCAGGTGTTATGAGGAGCATCTTTCTAGGTGGAAATCTGAGATGATATTTTCATAGAGTGTAAGTAACACTGAATCTAAAATGTGTATCTTATGTCTGTGTTCAGATTTGATCAGATTGACACAAACAGTGGCCAACGGGCATGAAGGGTTTATAAAGTCATCTCATATGCTATTGTTGACTTGTCTATTTTGGCAGTTTCATTTATATGTAAAGTGTGTATATTCAGATCTAGATTTATGGATGTATAGTTTTTATATATGTTTGCAGTTGCAGTTCCTCCTTTTGGGTTGTTAAGAGTGCACAGAGGCATAACTAGACCTAACCACCCCCAGACAGCTCTTAACACCCTGTCTGGAGTTTATAGTTGTGTACAGTGTTGTTCCTGATGACAGGGTCTACTGAGAAGCAGGTTGGCAGGGGACTCTCAGCGCTACCATGAAATTTGTCTGCACTGTTTGAGTCACAAACACATTTCATATTTCAGTAAAGCAGATTTAGTGTGGCGTTGTTGCACATTAGTCATGCGAACACACAACCACCCTCAGCACTGTCCTGAGGACTACACCCTGCCTTCATATATAATTTTATCTCGCTGACTTTTGATTATGTAAACAGCCCTGCGAACGTAATCAGAACTAGTCACTACTTTACTTTGGTTGCTCACTGTGTCTGGTGTCATGTCTGCATTCTCAGCTTTAGTCTTCAGCCTTTCCTATATCATCAGTAAAACCATCAATGCGTGATGATAATGTCATATTGCCTTTTGCACCAACAACCTGCCTTGTTTCCACAGAACAAAATAAAATACAGATAGACTGCTGTCTGGTCTCGTGGAAAGTACAAATAAGCTTTGATCTCACCACTACGTCTTCTCATAGCCATGCACGTTGTTTCGTACAACTGTTAGTGTGCCAGGCTGCCAAGTGGAAATTCTTTTTCCAGTAATGACAACAGACCTGCCAAAGCTTGGCCTCTGGGCTCCATAACCCAGGAAGAGGATAAAGGACCTGGTAAACCCCTTTCAGTTTAAACATGGTGCCACGGAATGCACGTCTTATGCCAGTGCATTGCCTGCATGCGTGATAAAATCCGCTCTATGGTTATTCCCAGGGAATGCAAAGGAAAAGCCAGTTCGCTGCTAAACCCCTGCTGATAAAGCCTTGATAAATATTCTCTTACTCATCACCACACTACTCTGACATCGAACGGTCAGCTCAGTGGAGAACTTGTGCAGTCTGTTGGGAGGAAAGGCAGGTAGAGAGAGTGCTGGCAGGAACGGGTTAGTGTAAGCAAGGCTGCATGTGCCAGGGGGTGATTAGCAACAGTGAAATGTGGCTGAACCTTTTTGCTTCGAGTACTTGAACAAAGTAGTATACTTTTTTTTTTTAGTTTTCAGTCGATTTCTAGGCCCATGCCAAAACAAGTTTTTAATCCCACATAGATTGTTTTCAGCTATTACTACATTATTTCATAAGTACCTACGGTATGATATTTAGCCCTACTTTCAGCACAACCTCCTAATGCTTATTATTACTGCCTGGTATTTGTGTGGGATTCTTTTTCTCCTCCTGTAAATTTTCAGAGGTGTTTTTTATTGGAGAGTGTGTGGTTTTTGTTTTTCTGTTCAGACATGTTCTGCATGAGTTAATGTGTGTGTGTGTGTGTGTGAAAATTGGAATTTCAGGGACTTTTGCTTTAGTAAAATTATGACTTAAGTTTTTAATATACTGAAGAAGACCTAAAGGACCTAATGACAGGATATAGGTTGCCTTGTAATTAAGTTTTTAACCTTGTTCACTAGTGCAGAATCTTAGGATAACTATGTCCATACGGAGTCGCATCGCAGTGGCAGCAGGTTCAGCTAGGTAGCCCAGGTATCTCTCTCCCTTGCAACATTTTCCAGATCCTCCTGGTTGAACCCAAGGTGTTTCCAGGCTAGATGAGATGTATAGTCTCTCCAGTGTATTCTGGAGGGGGGTCCATTTTTCCTAATCTAGGCAAGATGACATGATAATTATGCTTTGTTTCTGCAAATATTTAAACTTCTCCTTGATTTTTAAACATTTCGTTTTTTTTATTTTTTGGTCTAGGAATTGGGAAGGTAAAGAGCAGAAAGGGTGGAATGAGAGACACAGCCTCCAATGCCGACACGGACATGTATGCCGATAATGGCGAGCGGCTGTACGACCTCAACCTGCCCGCCCTGGTCAAGTTCAGCTACGCAGCGGAGCGTGAGGACGAGTTGTCTCTGGTGAAAGGCACACGGGTTGTGGTGATGGAGAAATGCAGCGACGGCTGGTGGCGTGGCAGCTACAACGGACAGTGTGGCTGGTTTCCCTCTAACTATGTGACAGAGGACATGGATGGCATGGCAGGAGGAGGGGGCACAGGTGGCTTTGGAGACCCAGCTGGATCATTAACAGAGAAGCTAGCAGCTGTGATGAACATCACTGCAAATGGAAACAGAGTGCTGCACACGGTTCAGGCACTCTACCCTTTCAGCTCAGGCAATGATGAGGAGCTGAACTTTGAGAAGGGCGAGGTGATGGAGGTCGTGGAGAAGCCTGAGAATGACCCTGAGTGGTGGAAGTGCCGCAAAGCAGATGGACAGCTGGGCTTGGTGCCTAAAAACTATGTCACTGTGCTGGACTCCACCTCCCATAAACCCACAGCAGGGCCTGCTGGGCCACCCACACCTGACTGTGACTACATCTCGCCCTCAGGCATTGGGCGCTTTGCGGGGATGGAGTGGTACTACGGAAAGGTGACACGCCACCAGGCAGAGGTGGCCCTCAACCAGAGAGGCATAGAGGGAGACTTCCTCATCCGAGACAGCGAGTCTTCGGTCAGCAGCCTGCATCTGTTCATGAAACAACTGTTGTTTGTAGTTGCCTTGAAACACTATCTTAGCTGATAATAACGTCATATTTCATTTTCTTTTCACAGCCGAATGATTTCTCCATCTCCCTGAAGGCTCAGAGCAAGAACAAGCATTTCAAAGTGCAGCTGAAGGAAAACCTTTACTGCATTGGACAGCGCAAGTTCAACTCTATGGAAGAGCTTGTTGAACACTACAAAAAGGCCCCCATCTTCACGAGTGAGCAGGGCGACAAACTATACCTGATCAAGGCCCTTGCTGCTTCCTGATCCCTCTGTGTCACCCAAACACACACTCCCACACAGACACACACCTCCGTGTTTTTAACTGCATCCATATATATATACACACACAAAGACACTTAGGCCAGAGCACACGCTAACATTTAAATTCCAAGCCTGAGGACTTAATACACCATCAAGACCAGATTTGGTAGCATTCCAAGAGGATGTATGGAAGCAAAATCATGGGACAGTCTTGGAGGAGTTGGGGAGGAAGATGAAAAGACTATGAACTCCTGAGAGCTAACTACAGACCTTTCCATCACTATTTTAAATTATCCAGATATGTTAGGTCATAGGCGATGCTATGTATTTCCATCTTGGTATCTATTAGAGTTGCATTTAGTTTCTTTTGTTAATATGTAATAGCCAGTTGTTTATTTCTCTGTCACGCAAGCCTTTTTTCTAAGTCTAGCGTAGAGGTCATTTCATCTTGTTCTTTACGGTTGTGGACACAGTAATCCACAACCTCTGCTAACTGCTAATCACAAATAAAAATCAAGTGACCAAAATGTATTTATTGAGACAACTAGTATCATGGTTATAGCGAGTGGGATATCGCAATAGTGTTTCTCAAACTAGAAATTCAACAATTCCTTTTGTACAACAACTGCTCATGACTTCACAATCAAACTAGTGTCCTCACACCCTCACTGTATCTCTGAAGAGAGGCATGGACAGTTTATTCATGTGTCTGAAGGTGGTATGAAAAGTTAAAAGGTATTTTCTGTAATAGTCTGGAGACTTCCACAGTGCAGCACAGACCCTCGCCCCATGCTGGAGTGTCTCTGATCCTCCTAGTGTTGCCAAAGCTGGGTCTGTGGAGCTGTAACAGGAAACAAAGAGCCAGTCCAGGCAGTCCAGAGGATGTCACTTCCCCTGAATTAGCCACTGCTGGAGGTAATGGAGGAGTAAAAGGTCACCCAGGGGCTGTGTTTGTGTGGCTGCGGAGCATATACACGACTAGTCAAATCTCTGGGCAAACTTTCCCACTCAGTTCAATGGAAAAGTGTGTCCAAACTTTTGGCTAGTAGTGTACATTGAGCTAAAGCACCCTCTTCCTCAAGGAGGCCAGAGGATTTTCAGAAAACAGTGATTTCAAACTGAATACTGCTGAAAGAAAAGCAAACTGTTTTAAATGCTTTAATGTTTTGTTTGATATTTGGTCATTTATTTTCATATCTAATGTCTACACTTAGAGCAATTTTAAGTGTTGGTAAAGCCTGAGAAACACAGCTTGTTTTAACAAATGTATGGTCAAGGTCAACTTCAGTGCATCTAAATGTTTTCAGCAGAACACTTGGTTTATAATGGGCTCTAGTGAATGAGTGGTCACTGAGGGAATATTGACCAAGTACTGTTTGATTGCTGGGGGGCAGCTAGAACTGGTGCCTGCAACCAAAGCTGCAGCAGCTTTGGCTGACAGAGGGCCACTCTAGCAGTGGGCTCAGGGAGATGAGGATGATGATGATTAGTTTTCCAGCCATGGCCAGTTAGGCCCGAATGCAGACAATGAGAGTGGAAGAGGGATTTCAGAGAGGAGAAATGGAAAAATGGATCCTTACAAAAACAAAAGCAGTGAATCAGGATCTATGGAGGAGACTTGGAAAATCAGTCCCACTGGGTGAGAGTATCTGGAATACTGCTCCCAGTCATATTTGGGCGGGGGAAAAGAATGGAGCTCAACGCTGATGTATCATAGTGGAGAATGAAAGGTTTTGGATGGGAGTATTTTATTTAAGGTCTAGTAAGTTTATGTGTGAAAAGTCAGTCATGTCACAAAGAGCTGAAACGTGAACATTTTCTCTTCTCCTTTCACCAGGCGATTGTCGGAGCTGTTCATACTAGAACTGTGTGACAGTGAGATTTCTCTTTAAACCATAAATTATCAACATTGAAACAATTACCTTTACATTTGATTTATGCAGGATTAAAATGGCATGGTCTAAGTTTAAACCCATAGTACCAGGCGATCTGCAATTATCTGTATTATACAAACAGTTTTTAGAAAAGGCAGCATTCCAGAATGAAAGCCTCTGTTAGGCTCAAACAGATTTCTGACTACATCTGAGTGTAAATCACAGCATCTTTATCATGTGATTTGAGTAACTTGTTGACTCTTAGGTACCAAATCTGTAAAGATTTATTTAAACTTCACACATTACCATTATTTCAGTGTGTGCAGGATATTAGTGCCTGTACTTTGACTTTATCTGGCTGCATCACTTAAATATAAATTTGAGTTGTAGGATCCTGTTGCATGTTGCACCAAATCCCTGGCTGTTGAATTTGTGCCATGTTCTTTTTAAACACTTTACGTGAGACAGTGTTTGCCTGCAGTCTATCAACTGCTTCCAGTTTTTTATGTCTTCTGAAATTTCTTCCCTGAGTTCAGTTCTACAAAATCTGCAATATTACGCAGAATGCAAGTGACAAACACCAATGCAAAGTGCCCTATTTTGAGGGATTTAGGAGATTTTAATGTGCCTTCTAAGCTTTCTGTCAACCAAAGGTTTAGTGTTCCTTTTTTTTTTTTTTTTATCCAGTTCTTCCCACTTCTTGTCATCACTGTGTACTATTTGGTTAAAACTTTGCATGTGCGTTAGTTGGGTCTGAATAGTGGGCGATGTGTTGGGGCTTATAAAAACACCTTTACTGAGGTGGGATTGTCCTTTAGTGCCCTTTCTGTTGCTGAAAATGTCAGTTTTTTTGTGATGCATAAAATGCCCATTAGTTGGTATTGTGTGTAGTTTCAAAGTGACCTTACCCTAGCTGATCTCATCGAGTATAACTTAAGTGAACAGTGATACATGTACAGTATAAAATACGTGCTGATGTTCATTTAGAAACCTAACCCCAGGTGTGATGTAATCATGACCTAAATCTCATGTATGATCACCTCAAGTAACGGTATCACATGTTGTTGGTGTAAAGAATGTCATGGTTTCCAAGGGAATAGTTCTTATGTCCGTATGTATTTCACATAGTGTAAGACACTCACCTTTGCAGTTTAGCAGCTAAAGTGTTAAAAAAAAAATCCTCAATACGTTTGACTTTATATTCCGATACAGAAATACAGTATCTCCCTGCTTAGATATTAACTGGGATTTGTTTCATTTACACCAGTGGAGGCTGCATGAGTAGAGCCTTCTGGTTTTAAATCTGCTTAAAAAGACACTGAAGTCAGTTGTGACAGATATTATCAAGAGATTGACTATCTAATCATTTTTTATGATCAAGAACTACAGCGCAGCAGGAACTGTTTCTCGACTACAAAACAAGCCCAAGTGAATCTTGACATTTAAAAGATTTCTTGATAATATTTAGAGCAAATGGTCCATGTTTAGCTTTGGTGCTTTTGTACTGCATATATTTCTCTGGTGTCTTTGTCACACAAGACTTGATCTGTATGAGAGACAGTGTAGAAAACAGGTGTATAATGATACAGGCAGTGCTGTGAAGGTTTGTCACGTTCTTAATTCTTCACGGAAGGGAGATTGTCTTCAGATGTAATAATTTAGAAGTTTATTAGTGTTCAAAAGATGTAATAAACAGTCTGAAAGTGATTACGTCTACCCTGCAGTGTTTGGCCCCTTCTCCTCTCCTCTCCTCTCCTCTCCCCACTTTCATGGTGCACCTTGCGGAGTGATTACGTCTACCCTGCAGTGTTTGAATACTCTTGAATGATTTATTAAATGCTGATATTTCCACTTTTTGTTCTTTAGATACAATTTTACTGAATTACAAAATTCACCAAATAAAAAGTTTTAGGCCAACTGTTTGTCTACAACTTTATGAATACTAGATTTTTTCCCTGTTCTTTGTTTTCCCTTTGTTATAATGTAGTTTAAACCAGGACATTAACTAACAGACAGCAGATGACTTGTGCATGAGGACAAGAGTGTATGGTGTTTGTGTGCCACCTGGTGGTCATTTGTATCATTACAGTTATTGGCACCACCGAGGCCAATCTGAAAAAAGATCTTAAAACACAATCTTATATTGGTCCCTTTATTTCAAAGCATTCAAACTTTCAAAATAAGATTCAGTCACATCATTCCATATACAAAATACTTCCCTTCAAGGAGAGACGGACAGCCTTTTTGTTCAAGCATCCCCATTTATCAATCAACCTCACTGTCGAAGTAGCATGCAAGATGTCATGGAGGATAGGAATGTGGGCTTATGGTGTTATGTAACTTTAGGGCAGGTTGAGCCAAATCTCACCACAGTCTTACAGCAGCTGAGCCTTGGTTTGTTCCTGCGTCAGCCACAACAGAATAGCATGAGCCTTCCCGTCAACTCTACCAGCTTTGGTTCTTGTGCCAGTGGGACCCCAGAAGATTCCCATAAGGCAAAAGTATCAGGAAAAAGATATAGGGGAACAAACACTAACATATTTTTAACACCACAGCAAGCAAAGAAGATGCAGTGTTTAAGGCCTTGAGTAGCCCTGCTGATAATACAACGCAAAGTAGTTACTACTTATCAGTGATTATATCTGTATAGATAAAAGCCATGGTCTTTGACATACATACAAAAATCAAAGTGCAATAACATATATATAAAGTTAGAAAACACATTAAAGTTTGATAAGTAAATAATTTCAAGTGCTGAGAAATACATAGCAGAAACCCTCCTCAGGAAAAGTCTGCAGATCTGCATAGTGCTATGTAGTTGAAAAGTAGACTGGTACTGTGATCTGAGTGAAATGGAGGGAGCTAACACAGGAACGCATTTTAGAAGTAGAGTAAGTCGGATATGGCGCCAGGCAGGTGGGTCATCAGCTGCACTCTGATCCACCAGTGAGGCTCCATGGGGTTGTACCGTGTGTAAGGACGCTTGGACACGATGGCGTCAGTGATGTCATCAAGAACAGGAGCCATATCCTTCTGTCCGGTGCTGCAGTAAGAGCCCACCAGAGTCATGTGGTGCTCAAAGTGGGCTTTCCCATAATCCTCCTTCACAACTGAGGGTGCTTCGTTCCACAGTTTGTTGGCAGTGGCTGCCACAGTGTCGCGAGTCAGGATGTCGGTGGCCACGATGAAGTTCCCTGGTTCGATTACAGACACTTTCACACCCCAGGCCTTCATCTCATAGCGAAGGCAATCAGAAAAAGCCTCCACACCGTATTTAGAGACACAGTAAGGTGAGCGCATTATATTCCCCATCCTCCCATACATGCTGGACATGTTCACAATGCGGCCTGCAGTCAGTCAGATAAAAAGTGTCAGAAATGTGTAAAAGATTTGATACTTTTCTGCATCCAATCCTCTATAGATGCCTCTCTGTAAATAGTAAATGAAAAGGTTTAAGCATCACAACCAGCAATAGAATGATGTAAAAGGAAATTAAGGATCTGTGGTGCAGCTTAACTCTCAGACTGTTAATCCCCCAGGTCCGTAGTTTGACTGTCTTCAGAGACATAACAGAACTACATCACTGCTTCTTGATGAGTCACATGTTGCCATCTTATTAAAAGCAGTGCACCTCATTGCTGGTCTGAACGCTATTTAACTTGTGTTAATATGTGATAAAATGATAATGTCTAATATTCAGTTGGACATGTTTTTTTTTTTTATAGTGGTTTACCTTTGGCCCTGCGGATTAATGGAAGAACAGCTTTGGTGACCCTGATCACGCCCCACAGGTTGACCTCTGACACCTGTTTGTAGGTGTCTATGGAGGTAAACTCCACTTCTCCAAATGTTGACATGCCAGCATTATTCACCACAGCCCACAGACCTGGGTCATGAACAGTGAGACAAAGTCACAAAAAATTCCCTGAATGAATGAGCACTGATGTTCTTTTATCTGAGTGAGTGAAGACAGGTGCTAATGCAGTTTTCTTATTTACCTCTTTCAGAGTCCTCAAGGTTGTCTTTAATATATTCCACAGCCTGGTTCACCTGCTCCTCGCTGCAAAGGTCCAGTTGGACTACCTTCTAGCGATCTGAATGAAATTCCTCCAGCTCCTTTGCACCCTTTCCACCTTTATCCTACACAGATTACAGGTCTTCTCAGTTACTTCAACTCATGTTAACATAAAATGCCATCATAGCTTTGAAAAATATGCTTAAAAGTATGCAGATGATGGGAAACAAACAATACAGCTCAAGAAATACAATACAGCTATGTTCATTTATGAAAGCAAAGCTTTATTTTGACACATACAACAAAGTTTTGTTTGGACTGCTGTGTACGTACACATCGCTAATCCCAGGCAATTTGGGGGATTCAGTGTCTTGAGCAAGAACAATTCAACATGTGGACTACCAGCACTGAGATTTGAACCCTCAACCTTCTGGTTGGGACACAACTGCTCTACCCACTGCACCACTGTCACTCCACTCCCACTTCCATCAGCTGTCTTGTTCCATGCATGGGTTGCATATCAGACAGATGAATAACATGCCCTTTTTTACATACTCTTTGTTTCTTTTTGCACTCTCAGTAGTTTGAGTAGGTTTGTGGGATACAGTTTCTTGTTGTTTCTTCCTGTTTGTGTGGAGGAAGAGACGGGTGCTGGAGTCTTGAAGTGGTCTTTTATTTTTGGGGGTTCGGGTATCTGTGGTTGTCTGTCACAATGTCAGTCCCACCATGTGGGATTCTTGTGTGGTTTAGTTGTTGCTCAGTGACATCAGTTTGTGCTTGTATCCTCCCTTTGGTGGGTGTAACTGAATTGATATTGTGTGTAAGTGTACTTGTTATGTTTGAGACTTCTGCACATGAACTGACAACCATGCTGTTGAAGTGCCACCTGCTGGCACATCACTGCTAGCTCCACTGTTCACGTGGTTAAGGCTTCAAACACTACTGCTCAGTTACTCACTGTCTTTTCTTTTGTTACAGACTCCTGACGCAGTTGACAACATGCAGTCCACTGATGACGGCTCCAGCAGAATGTAAACAGGCTTTGTGAAAAGTAGAAGTCACAAAAATGTGTGCTGTTACTTCATTTTATTCTACGTCATCATCCCAGATATCCTCTACTCCAAACCTACCCAGCCCACTGTGCCTGCCCCCACACATATTAAAGCATATTTTTCAGGAGAGGGTCAGACCCCAATTTTACCACATTATTTCCTGTTGTGTGGTTTTAGTTTCTTTCATTACCACATCCAAAAGCAGCACAGACCTCCAGTGTTTTCTACTCTGTGAAGTGGCCAGAACTTCTCCTGCGGTGGTGGGAGAGACAACAAGAAAACACTCTGGATGTATTTGAAACAATAGACTGAAATGTCATGACAAATACATCAGATGTGCATGGAATGATAAAGAGTTCTGTAAATAATGTGTTTCGTCTTTTCTACATTTTCTTTTCGCTCTGCCTCCTGAGCCACAAGTGTAAATGGTCTTATACTTGTTGGTCTTATACTTGTATGACCATTTAAACCAAGCCAACCACTCTGTATTATTAGCAAATGAGTCAACATATGAATGTGACCAAATCACAGGGTGATACCTGACTGCTCTACTCTGAAATGAAAGGGTGACTACAGATTAATACAGAAAATCACAAAAAATTCCCTGAATGAGCACTGATGTTCTTTTATCTGAGTGAGTGAAGACAGGTGCTAATGCAGTTTTCTTATTTACCTCTTTCAGAGTCCTCAAGGTTGTCTTTAATATATTCCACAGCCTGGTTCACCTGCTCCTCGCTGCAAAGGTCCAGTTGGACTACCTTCTAGCGATCTGAATGAAATTCCTCCAGCTCCTTTGCACCCTTTCCACCTTTATCCTACACAGATTACAGGTCTTCTCAGTTACTTCAACTCATGTTAACATAAAATGCCATCATAGCTTTGAAAAATATGCTTAAAAGTATGCAGATGATGGGAAACAAACAATACAGCTGAGGAAATACAATACAGCTATGTTCATTTATGAAAGCAAAGCTTTATTTTGACACATACAACAAAGTTTTGTTTGGACTGCTGTGTACGTACACATCGCTAATCCCAGGCAATTTGGGGGATTCAGTGTCTTGAGCAAGAACAATTCAACATGTGGACTACCAGCACTGAGATTTGAACCCTCAACCTTCTGGTTGGGACACAACTGCTCTACCCACTGCACCACTGTCACTCCACTCCCACTTCCATCAGCTGTCTTGTTCCATGCATGGGTTGCATATCAGACAGATGAATAACATGCCCTTTTTTACATACTCTTTGTTTCTTTTTGCACTCTCAGTAGTTTGAGTAGGTTTGTGGGATACAGTTTCTTGTTGTTTCTTCCTGTTTGTGTGGAGGAAGAGACGGGTGCTGGAGTCTTGAAGTGGTCTTTTATTTTTGGGGGTTCGGGTATCTGTGGTTGTCTGTCACAATGTCAGTCCCACCATGTGGGATTCTTGTGTGGTTTAGTTGTTGCTCAGTGACATCAGTTTGTGCTTGTATCCTCCCTTTGGTGGGTGTAACTGAATTGATATTGTGTGTAAGTGTACTTGTTATGTTTGAGACTTCTGCACATGAACTGACAAACATGCTGTTGAAGTGCCACCTGCTGGCACATCACTGCTAGCTCCACTGTTCACGTGGTTAAGGCTTCAAACACTACTGCTCAGTTACTCACTGTCTTTTCTTTTGTTACAGACTCCTGACGCAGTTGACAACATGCAGTCCACTGATGACGGCTCCAGCAGAATGTAAACAGGCTTTGTGAAAAGTAGAAGTCACAAAAATGTGTGCTGTTACTTCATTTTATTCTACGTCATCATCCCAGATATCCTCTACTCCAAACCTACCCAGCCCACTGTGCCTGCCCCCACACATATTAAAGCATATTTTTCAGGAGAGGGTCAGACCCCAATTTTACCACATTATTTCCTGTTGTGTGGTTTTAGTTTCTTTCATTACCACATCCAAAAGCAGCACAGACCTCCAGTGTTTTCTACTCTGTGAAGTGGCCAGAACTTCTCCTGCGGTGGTGGGAGAGACAACAAGAAAACACTCTGGATGTATTTGAAACAATAGACTGAAATGTCATGACAAATACATCAGATGTGCATGGAATGATAAAGAGTTCTGTAAATAATGTGTTTCGTCTTTTCTACATTTTCTTTTCGCTCTGCCTCCTGAGCCACAAGTGTAAATGGTCTTATACTTGTTGGTCTTATACTTGTATGACCATTTAAACCAAGCCAACCACTCTGTATTATTAGCAAATGAGTCAACATATGAATGTGACCAAATCACAGGGTGATACCTGACTGCTCTACTCTGAAATGAAAGGGTGACTACAGATTAATACAGAAACGGTACAGCCCCTGGTAACCACTGTAAGAAGTCTACTGAAATAGATATTTATTAGGGCTGCACGATAAATAATTTGTGTGATTTAGATCCCTGTGCAGTCTCAGAAACCAGTAAACGTTCTAAATGCGTGCCTATACAGCAGGTGGATAGCTCGGTGGTTTCTGTAAAGTTGGGGAAGAATAGTCTGTAAAAGAAAGAGAGAGGGGGGATTCAGAGGATCACAGGTTCGAATCCAGTGCTGCCAAAAATGAAACTGGGCATAGCATTCGTCTAAGAAAGGACAGACGGTGACCTGACAGACAGACAGGCAAGAGATGGAAGCGAGAGGACAAGAGTAAAACTACCGGATGATTTTCTCATTACCTGGTGAATGCAGAGTTTACTGCTGTGTAACGGGAGATTTCTGAAAATAAATGCTTTGTGATGACATGTTTATCTCTCTCAAAAAGTGTTATACAGAGGTGTGCAAGATTGCTAACAGCATGTTGGCATTCTTCTTCTTCTAATGGTGTTTATTGGAGGTTTTCAAGCCAACCTAAGGTGCAGTACCGCCACCTGCTGGTATGTTAGCATTCGCTGTAATAGTGTTGCTTTGTGTTTACACGCGCAGTAGGTGGATTTTGATTCGTCTAGGCAAAGCCAGGTTATCGGTTTTCTTGTTACCAGTGTCTACGCTAAGCTAACATGCTGCAAGCTCAAGCTACAGATGTCTTTTCATCCACCTCATAGCAGGAACATGAATATGTATTCTCAAAAGTTCAAGCTATTTTTGTCTTTTTCGCTCATGAAAGAGTCTGTAAAGTTCTGTTAATCAAATAAAGAACTTGTTTGGATTAGTTTCTCACAAAGTCCAAATTAATATTGCTTACCAAAGTCTTGTCCATGTTGATTATGAGTATTGGTTCTTGAATGGAAAGCTTGATAGTCGCACCTTGTGTAATATTTGTCTTTGTTTTTTTTTTTTGTTTTTTTTTTTTGTTTTGTTTTTTTTGTAGTTGCTGTCTCTGTGCCAAACCTCTCATTCATTCCAAACGCTGGCAGTGGAGTGACTGCAGTGTGACACAAACTGCTGGTCACCGGCGCCTGAGATTACATTTCTTGATAATCAGGGAAACAACATCAGTGCTGAAGATGCAAGGAGAGATCAAGATTCCACGGGATGTTTCAGAGTCACGAAGCGAGTGACTGTCCCGGCTGCCACGGAGAGGCTAACTTCTGTTAACTAACTTCTAACTTCATGGCTTTAATGCTTTGTCTAGACCCACATTACATAAATCAATTTTGTCCTGTATTGGTACATGTTAGAATATCAGATTTTATAAATTCATCCTCCTCTTTTATCCGGGCTCAGCGGCGGCTTTGCGCATGCGCGATTGATTATCAGTCTGGACGTGGGGCGGTGTGGGTCTCCTCTCTGCTCTGACTGCAGCTGGAACTGCTGCGCGAGGCTACTGTGAAAGTTTTCGGACGGGGGGTTCATGATGGTCCATGGAGGTTGTGAGTAAAACTGTGCACGTACATTCATAATTAGTTTTGGCTTGCTTTGCAAGTGAAAGGGTCACTCAGTTTGAGACCACCACGCACAAAAGCATGGACTCAGGCCTGCAACGGGGTTTGTTTATTTCAAGGACTTTTAATTAGCAGAGTGAGAGTGTGTGTGTGTGATGTGTTTGTTGATATTTGTGATTTTGGTGAAGATCAAATCACAGGTAATGGCCAATTTATGCAGAAAACCAAGAAATTGAAAATAGTGGCAGTACTTTTTCTTGTGACCATATGACCCAAACTTAGCTAATACTTTTAAAAATCAGATAAATAAAATTAAATACACTATAACCATAAAAAAAAATGTTTGAACCCTGGTGAAAAATTCACAAGCTACTCGGCATTAATTCAAATTATAGGCATATAAGATAGTTACAATGAACTCCACCATTAGCATCAGCATTTTGAAACATTCTTTTGCAGATTGTGCTTTGGTTGTCTCTGCAAAGAGTTTTTCATTTTTAACAGCAGTCTGTGCACTGACTTTGGTTGACACAGCTGGCTGTAGTGCAGGTGGAACATTCAATCCACTGACACCTGGGTTTCTAAAACAGGAAGCCTTCTTCTGAGTTTGAATCCTCTGATTCTTGCCCTTCTGTGCTTGCTGTAGGCAGGTCTCTTGGTCAGCCGCCTGTTGGAAATGAAAAGTTTTCCAGGGGTTGACAGGCTGTGGCTTTTGGTCTGCCTGGCTGGCTGCTTCTTCGGTAGACTGCTTCACACTGTCTGCTGGTACCACAGATAGCTCTTGTATGACATTTTGGCCCCTGTCATAGTCAGATTCTGCAGACACATTGCCTAAGTGAAGGGGTACATCTGCCTTCATCATCTTGTCTTCTTAGGCATATCTGGATGAATTTACTCCCCTTATTCCTGTCCTGACTGATGAGGTGTTTAAGGGTAATTCTGCCTTTTCTGCTTATGACATTGTCTTGTACCTGCTGTTTAACATCTGTGTCATTGCGCTGCAGACAGGTCTTCTGGTCAGCCACCCATTGGAAATTCATATTCCTGGGGTTAACAGGCCACAGCCAGCTTGGAGGCATTTTGTCCTCCTGGTAGACTGCTTTATTGGTACACTGGGGTTTTACCTTCTTTGCTGGTACCACAGATGACTTTTTTTGTGGCAGGCTGGTCACTGTCAGAGAAGTCTGACTGTCCACTGTCACTGACAA